CCAATCATTTTGAGTACATGTGGGCTGACTGGCTCTCCTTTCTTGAGCTTTCTCTCAAGGATCTGCCTGTGAGTTTCAAACCTTTCAGTTCGGGCCTGCTCTTGGAACATATACTGCAATTCAGAAATGATCTCAAAAGCCGTCTCTTTTTCAAAGAAAGTCTTTTGAAGCTCAGGAGACATTGTGGCCAACATGATGCATTTGACATCTCGATTGGCACTTTGCCATCGATTTAGGGCAGCTTGAGTCACCTCCTCATTGGGAGCCTCGGGCATTTCCTCATCAAGGACATATTCCTTTTGCTCTTGCATGAGAACAATTCGCAAGTTCCTTTGCCAATCAAGAAAATTTGGCCCACTCAGCTTCTCCTTGTCGAGAATTGAGCGTAACGAAAATTGGTTGTTTGAGTTATTTGAAGACATGATTCTACAATTGAAAGAATTTGAAATGAAAAACCATTCATTATACTTAGATAAGATTGAATTCATGCATTTTAATCAAACTTATTTAAAACGTCTTATTCACACATTAAAGATTGTCCCCATTTTAGGTGAGAATAAGTTGATTCCAAGATCCAAAGAAACAAAGAGTGGTTAAGCATGCTTTGGCTTGTCTTAACACTCAATCTCCTAAGGTAAGCAACGCTTTTCTAATGGCTCCAAGCCACTCTTGGTTGAATAAATCGTCGCATCCAATGCCCTCTAAACAATTTATTCACTTTGCCACGACATGTTAGGACTCCATCACTCATATCGTTGAGTATAACAAAAACCACCTTGCATACCCGGTATGCCTTACGTTCCTTGGAGAAGTAGTGATGCCTCGCTTTGGCGTAGCCCACCACTACCCTCGTTCGGTTGGTAAGTGTGTTTTGGAATGGCAAGTTTTACTCAATATTTTAGGGACCTAGGGTTTCTATGTTGGTTGATTTAAGTGAACTTAATTAATCATCTCAACATTCGAAATCCTAAACATGCATCTAACATATAATTCATATATATATAAACATAAATATATATCGAAAACATAAATAGAGATGCATTTGGCAACTAGCATGACCCCTTGAGATCTTCAAGTTTACAAAAGGTCTTCATTTGCAACTTCATGACTTTGTCTTCTAAGAACCCCGTCTTCAAGACTTGACCAAAATATTACAATTGCTAGTATCTACGATTAGGACTAATCTAAATATTAAGGTACAAAAATACTCAACGGTTCGCAGACCGTATTTAGATTTACAAAAATACATCACGGATCACAGTCCGTATTTTCAATCCTAATCGGGCCCCACTAGTTGTCATTTCATAAAACCTGTGAGAGAATTTACATTCCATTCATCCATTCACTATCTGTGAATGGCCCATGGATTTTACAACGATAAACAAGTAACAATGCATAAAACGCGCGAGAACTAGTAACTAATCTAGGTGGTTAATCTAATTAACACGCCTAATTAAACTAGTCAAAGTTGATTTAACCGGTTATGGAAATAACTAAGAGACGCTCCCACTAAATTCCGCATCCAACTTAACTAATCCAATTAATTAAGTCGGTGAACCCAAATATTTGCCAAAATTAATTTTGCAAATGTCGCTCAAAACCCGAGGCCTAGCCTCAAAAATTTTAATTAAATAAACAAAATAATTAAAATAATTAAAACGACAATTTAAGCAAAATTACGAATTCCAAAATGTCTAAGTGCCTAGCACTAAGACTTGGAGTCCAAAAAATACCCTTATTTACATATTAAGCAAGGCTGAAATTAACTTTAAAATAGCATCGCCTTAATAACCCGGGGCTATTATGCCAATTATGGGATTGTACGTACCGTACAACAAGCACGTAGTATGCCCATGCGCACCCCCGCAACACCAAGCATGCAGGTGGGCTGCTTGTGCTCGCATGCGCCACGCCCAGCCCAGCCAAGCGTAGCAGCACACACAGCGAGCACAGCCTTATGCTGCTGCTGCGCCATGCTGCTGCTTGCTGCTGGCAGCAAGTAGCAGCCCACGCCCTTCCTCGGACACACAGACGCACAACACCACGCACCTAAGAACGAAGCGCCCAGCAGCCTCGACAGCCACATATGGGTTGCGTGAGCAGCCCAGCTGGCCGAGAGCTAGCTCAGGGCTCTTAGGCCTCGTGTTGCATGCTAATGCTTCGAAAATTATCGATTTTTGTGTGTGACATTATAAATCAATTCTAAATTAATTTTAGAATTAATTTTGAGGAAAAATGAAAAATTACAAGTCCAACTTTAATAATTCATCCAAAAGCAATTAACCAAATTTATTTCCAAGAACCATTCTTTAATAAAATTGGTTTAACTTGGTGTAATAAAATAAATTAGGGCAATTCTCACTATTAATTTAATCACTTTAAATTAATCTTGAGATTTTGACAAAATAAAAGGGAGTTGGAAAAAATGAACATAAGTTCAATAAAGACTCCAACTTTAATACTTGTGACTTCATGAAAAATTATATCTTCCAATTTGAAGATAAACCAATTTCAACCACAAGTTTTTAAACTTTATGATTTCAATCAACTAAAAAATGATTAAATCAACAAAGTTTAACCAAAATTCATGGAATTTAGTAGCTCAAAGTTTCAATCACTTATCATAAATAAAGATTGAATCTTTAGTACTTGGAAGCAACAAAGAATAACAATTTCACACTTAATGCAATCAATTTGCAATTATGTGAAAAATAAAACCAAATTTTCAAATACCAATTACTACCAAGTAATCATGCTTAAAGTGGTCTAAAATTGCATATAAATTAAGGAAAGAACCAAATACATAACCACCATAAACATGCAATCAATTTTCAAGGTTAGAAAGACTTAAAAATTTTCGTCAAAACAAAAAATCCCTCGAAAAATGCATTTCTGGTCGTATTTTGGCTAAAAATCGAGTCCTAAAAGGGTAAAACCATTTCCAGAACGCCTTTTCCACCAGACAGCTCTAATACGAGGTAAAAATTGGAAAAACGAGTTACTAATCTAATCATCAACTTAAAACCAGAAAAATTAAGCCATAAAAACACCTTGAAAATATTATGATTTTAAAAATAAACGAGCGAGGCTCCGATACCGCTGTTGGGGTTTAGTGAGTCCGACTCACCGCGGAAACAATCCCAAAAACAAGACCGCACTCGCAATAAATAAAACCATAAACATAATTAAATTAATCACAAGATTAAGATAACCTAATTACCTTTGACGCGTGCTTCACTCCAAAATGAGCTCTTACTTGAAAGCTTCAAGTCCCGCTCACACGGAGACCTCCAACGAAGTCCACCCGCACCAACAAAACCGACTAGGTCCAATGTCTTGGGGTTAGCAAGACCCGACCAAAAAAACCCGAGTAATTATAATGAGTTCAAAGGTTTTCACTAATTGTGATGCCTTTTCCAACTCTTACTCAAGCATCATTCCCAATGCCCATACTTGGGTATTTATAGGAAATGATGGGAGTATCATTTACTCTCCCATCAATGTGGGATAGTATGATTTTTCCATTTTATTTTAAAGCTGCAATAAAATTAATAATCAACTAGTAATAAATCAACAAGTGGCAAGCTCATGTGAGTGGTTAGGTGAGGACCACTTGGAGAAGGGGGGACCAAACTTGCTCCCCACTCCCTCTCCCATAATCGGCCACCTCACTCCACACACACTCAAGGACCACAAGCCACATGGCACCCACCCTTGGGCACCAAGGCAGCCAAGGTGGGCTGCTATGTGCTGCTGTCCGTGGCAGCCACGCCCATCAAGCCCAGCAGGCCCAGCACTCGCATGCGGGCTGCCAGGCGCTGCTTGCTAGCAAGCCCAGCATGCTTGTGCGGGCTGCTGCAGGTCTTGGCCAGTGCTGCTAGGCAGCAAGCAATGGCCTAGCCATACTGCTGCTAGCTGTGGCAAGCTGGCGCGCCTAGCGTGCTAGCTGCTGCAGCTTGTTGCGGCATGGCTTGCTAGCCATTGCGCGCACAAGGCTGCGACTAGCATGCTAGCACGCACTAGGCAGCGCCTAGCCTTGCGATGCTAGAATAGGTGCGCTAGCACGCACCAGCCAGCCTAGGCTCGGCTTGGTGCGCATGCTAGCCACCATGCTAGAACATACGCCCTTAGCACTCGGTTTGCTTGGGCATTCCGATGCTAGGGGTATTTTGGTCTTTTGTTGATTTATTACTATTTCTTGCTCGTCTCGTCTTTCACTATTTTTCGACTCGACTTCCGGCGCTCGATTTCGACGCTCTAAGCTCGAATTTCCGACGTCTAAATAAATATTACTCGGTCGACTCATTAAGTCCTTCAGAATTAATTCGTCGTTTCGGTTTGTTGAATGCTTGTGTGTGACCCGAAGGGTTCAGTCAAGATTAAGCTGTAATATTTATTATTCATTAATATTACTGATCGAAAGCGGCCTCCACCCAGGCATTCCGATCACTTGACCTCACTGAATATATTAGCTTTCTAATAATTCTGAACCCACTAACGGAATAGTACACTTGTTCGAAGCACACCATTCCTTTCATCCATTACTTTCAAAGCAATTTTCCATGCCTCTTTAACTTTTGACGGCTTTTTCAATTTTGCAATTGCATTGTCCTTGCCTTTTAGAAAGTTAGGATGGCTTTTTCATATATTCATTTGCCATTATTGACACATATATCACAATATAAGCTTGCTTTCAAGAGAACCAAATACTCAATCATCCATACCACGAACTCGAACAATAAGGATCAACTGCTTCACAAAAACCAATAATGGAAACGAAAATGAAACAAAAGGCTCAAGAACTAAAGATCTGGCTTCAAAAGAATGGAAAAAGCTCAAATGGTTAGCAAGAAGGCAAATGTAAACCAAAATGAAATAAAAATAAAGAAAAATAACCTAGAAAAGAAAAATTACCACCGAAAAAAAGATGCCTTTGTCCTTCCTAGTTAGTTTGGTCTCGAGTTTGAGAATTATGACTCAAGATTCTAGATTAGGTCTGCAATAGTCAAGGATCCATGCCGCTCATGCAAATATATGTTGAAGGCGTGAAAAATAAGGAACCTCACATGGATGTGTCAAAAACTCACTAAGGGCATCGAATCAACCAAAGGAAGCAACTCCGTCTTACCACAAACCCAACGAAATCCGGCTTCAAGGCCCCTAAAGGTCCACTACCTTAGCATATCCTATCCTAGAGTCAACCGCAAATATTTTCAAAACATGCACACTCTAAACCTAAAGACAAATAGGTAAAAGAGAAATATCATATATTCACTCTAAAGCTAAACTCAACAAGAAACGACAAATAATACCCCCAAACTTAAAATAGGCCATGCCTCATCACTCTAAACCTAAAGACAAATAGGTAAAAGAGAAATATCATATATAAATCACAAAAGAAAGGAGGGTGGGGACCAAGGTAGAATCATCACGCACTATGGTAAGGGGTAGAATGAGAACTCCCCTCACCGATCTCCATCAAATGACTAGAGATTACCATCTCGCTCAGTTCCATGGGAACCTTACCCCTAAACCGACTTTCCTTCCTAAATTATATCAAGCTCAAAATAATGAGACAAATCATCTAAGATCGGCTCACCCGACCTACCCCACCTACCAAAAGTCTCGGGGTCCGAAAAAGGCAAAGGATTAGCCGGATCATACGCATAATCACAACACCCGGGACGCCTATAGTCGTAAGTGCCCGGGGTAGTTCCTATGATAGAACTAGAGTGAATATGGGGGCCCTCCCAATAAGGATAACAAAGTCTAGGATCCACAGTAGGATTAAAAGGCTCCCATTGGGGGACAGGTCCTTGTTGGACCGGAAGGTACACATAGTTGACGTAAGGATATATCTCACCCATAGAAACATGCAAATCATATAATCGATACGTATGGTAATCATAACAAAGGGAAGAAGGTTGCACAGATGGCATGGAGTACAACATGTTAGCAATAGAATCAAGATTGGCATGAATTGTTGACATATCAAAAGTAGAAGGAGTGGGAGAGGGGAGGGAATAGATGTACCTCCTGGTTAAACCGGGGAAAGAGAATGAGCAATCGATGAGCATACATTAGTTGAATGATCTCTTGTACAATTTGTCCTTTGACGGATAGAGGGATGAACATCTCGCATTGGGGGCCTCCAGGGCAAAGAATCTCTCTCCTCGGGACGAGTAGTTGCCTCTTTGCAGGGGATTACAAACCATTCCTTATATCGAGAGACCTTCCAAATAAAAACATCTTCCTTCCTCCTTCGATCAAGAAATTTTTATTCACTAGTGTGGAGATGTTTAAGAAATGCGAGGGGGACTTTTCTCTAGGATCAATAATCTGTGGAAGCTCGTCTACCATAGCCTTGTAATTCTCATTGATGAAAAGCGCTAGTATAGAAATCATCCCACCCAATTGGATGCAATCCCGAAAGGCAAACTCCATCACGGATATCCAAGAATCGGGAGATCAAACGCTACATGAAATCCACCGACTCAATCTCAAAATCATTTTGGTCGGTTATCCAAAACCAACAAAGCTCCTCACGGGAAATAGCTCCCAAGGAGTCCTTGGAGCAAAGAGAGTATGTGAGCATTCGGTTGAAATATCGCGTAGCCGGATGAATCATGGAAGCGGACTTTGAAGTTTGAGGGTTATACTTTCCTTCTTCCGAGATACTTCTCCACCAACGTTGCTAATCATATACATGCTCACTTGCCACTCTACCATGAGCCGGAGAAATACAATGATCCGAATTCTCGACCCAAGGAAACATGAAATATGAACATAGTTGAGCATCCGTCAAAGAGTGATCATTAATGAAGAGTTGGAAAGTCAAAATCTTTGAGTAATTTTCACTCGGTTCAGGAACAACCTCGGAGAAGAAAGGAATTCATAAGTCACCCTAGCATAGGTAGGGGCATTCAAATCCAAGAAGTTCAAAAGATCAAGCCCTTCCGTAAGGAGGCGAACATCCTCGTCAATCCCTAGAAACGTTTTTGTCGTTTTATCATAGAAACACGTTGCCCTAAGCTTTCTCTTTGAAAGACGTTTGAAGCACTCCCAATGAGATTCCTTTGAAAACTCAATGCCATAAGTTTCCTCAACCTTCGGTGGAGGCGGAACAATATACCTCGACTTGCTTGAACTAGCTCTAGCACGCTTCATATGACAAAGTGTGGCCATCTACAAAGTATCAAGACTAAGCACAAGTAGTTGTTTAACAACAAGCACAAAATGGAAATATTTCACAATAGAAGCAAGAAATGGTAACAAATGAACAATGACATTGATAACATCATGAATATTAAGCAAATAAACATGGATTGAAGGCAAACTTGAACATAAGAAACCTAATCATGAGTCAATTTGAAAAATAAATCCCAATCATTGAACAATCAGAGATAAGAAACTAATATAAAGAAAACCCATGAGAGAGAAAATAACCAACAATTATTATTCAAGAATTCAATCAAAGTTCACACATTTATCATGAGGAAACTTCAATTCAACATCCATCAATATCATTCAACATAAATTCCAAGTGAAAAGTACTAACCATAGAATTTCACCATGAAAGCATAAAGGTTCAAGCTTAAATCAAAGAGGAAGATGATGAATAAACAATAAGAAACCATACCTCAATGAAGCCTTGAAATGCTTGAAAAATGCTCAAAATGGAGATGTAAGAACAAATAAATTTCCCAAAAAAAACTCCAAACCTCAACACAAAATTTTAAAATTTTGAAAAAGACCCAATTTTTTTTCTTACTTGAACTTGGGAAAGAAATCTGAAAATTTTGTTTTGAGTAGTAGATTTGAAAAACTTGATTTTGGCAATTGAAATTGATGTTGAAATGATAGCAAAATAAGTGAAGTAGGCTTGGTACAAGAGAGGGTATAGGGTTTTATGAGGGAAAAATGAAAGAAGGGGTGCGTTTGGGGTTATAGGGGCTGCCAACAAGTGTCGCGCTCGCTTCCGATAATGTCGCACCCGTGGGTAAATTCCCACGCCCGCGGAAAGTTCTTGGTCGGATTTTGGCATTTGAGGAGCACAGGTTCCTGCGCCCGCTGGTGATCTTTGTGATGCGCGCGAGTGTAGCTTGGTGTGTGCGCACCCCACACATCTCGAGATGGCACTAAAAAAAGAAATACCCCTTAAAATGCTTTCGTGTTTGCATTCTCACCGTCCCTACCAAATGTCATGATCTAGAACTAAAAAAATTTATAAGAATAACTTCAACGTCCCCTTTCCTCTAAGCATAACCAAACCTCACGAAGTATTGAAGTAGCACCAAAATTGTTGGAAATTTTCTCCGATTCAAATCCCATGGTACCTGAGATGAAAAGAACAAACCAAAATATAAAGAAATAAGAAAAGTTCTCAAAGGAGGAAATAAAGAAAAATATTAGATCAAAGTAAAAAGTTGGAAAACAGGGTTGCCTCCCGAGTAGCGCTTTTAGTTAACGTTGTTAGCTCGACGTCCTCCACCAATTAAGGTGGTTGGCGGAGAAACAATGAGTCCACCAAACCAACAAAAGCATCGTTGAAATACTTCATTAGACGATTGCCTTTGGCTTTGAACGGAGAAAGAAAATCTTTCATTAAAACTTCCATAAAGACATTTGGAAAACCACTCTTGCTCGAATCGGTCTCAGTTTCTTCAATTATCGGTGTTTTCTTTTCAAGTGTTTCCATTGCTTTAATAATTTCTTTGTCATTTTCATTGTTAGTTAAGCAATCCTCGTCATCTTGGGATATAGAAAAGCAAGAGGAGTAAGAGGAAGAAGACATATTATTAAATTCGGAAATCATTACATCGAAGAGAGATATGTCCTTAGGGACTTGATCGCTAACTATTCTAGGGAAAGAGATAGAAGAAGAGGGTGCTACAAATAAAGACTTAGATGACTCTTTAGGAAGAGACTCTGACTCTGACTCGGACCACTCGGACGACTCTTCAAACATTGGTCCTTGCCACGTTGTAATATAGATTTTCCTTCCGCCTGGAGTAGTCACCTTGACAGTCTTACGCCACCCTTGTAGTGATCCTTCTACTGGAGTAATTAGCTTTGAGGGATCAAAGCTTTCGCTTTGTAGGACCGTTTGGATGAGCGAGGAGTTATCCTCTATGTACGTTGGCTCATCTTTTTCTCGCCCAAATAGTAATCCAATGACATTAAAGTCAAAGCATGGGGTGCTTTCTCCTTATGCATAGGAGTTGGGATTTCATCTATAAAATAGCAATCTAGGAAAATTTCGAATCTCGGTTACCTTATGCCATTTACGACAAACGGTTCAGGAAATTTGTAGCATGTATAGTACTCTCCTTCTTTTATGAATTTTCCATTGAGGGTAAGAGGATACTGATTCATTGGGATTGCTTTCATTTAGATGCAAACGTTCCTACGTGCTTTTGACTTTTCCTGGGCTCACTTGAGATCTTCCCTAGTCGGTTTGAAACAAGTCCAAAAGTGTCTAATTTAGGGAGGCTAGGTGATTCCAGCGATTTTGCTATTCCTTTCCTCTTTCCTAGGGTCATCCTAGGAAAATGTCCTTGTTTCTTCAGAATAGCGTTCACTATCATATTGGAGTGAGGGTCGTGGTAGAGAGGGGTCATGGTAGAATAGCGTTCACTATCATATTAAAGCCCCACAAATCTTCATCATATTCATCGTGCTCCACATTAATTATTAGATTTACTATGGACTTAATCCTTATGGGTGAAGCATCGATCGTAATGGGGATTCCTCCAACTATGGCCTTTACCTGTTAGTGGAGAGATGAAGGGACAGCCTTTAGGTCATGAAGCCAAGGGCGTCCCAACAATAAATTGAATGAAGCCTTAATATCTACTACTTGGAATGTAGTAGCGTGTTCTATTGCTCCCACCGTTATATTCATAGTGATCTTGCCAAGAGCTTAACGACGAGTGTTATCGTAAGCTCTTATTCCTTGTGTTGACAGGGTTAGGTCTTCATCCCTTTTGCCTAGCATCCTCACACGCGGACAGACATTAATGGTCGATCCATTGTCTACAAGAGTTATAGGGACGTTCATTCTCTTTCAGACTACTGTGAGGATTAATGCCTTATAATGCTTGTCACCTTTTAGAGGTAAATCCTTGTCGGAAAAGGTGATCAAGTTGATGTTGGGGTTTGGTGAGTCCGACTCACCGCGGAAAAAACCCCGACCCAAGGAACCACTCGTAATTAATAAAATCATAAAGCATAAATAAATACAAGAAAAGGAAGAACGAATCATAACCTTGAACACGACTTTTTACTAAGAGGACCTAACCGCTTGATATCTGTCGTTATAATCCCCAGTTTTGGCAGACGTTTGGCGGATACCAAAGTGGACTAGTACTTAAACAGTAGACCTCCCACTACTCATGGTCAAGGAAAAGAGTTCCGATAGTAATAATGAGAAAAATACTTATGACGATTTTTAAATCTGTTAAAGTATTCTCATAGGTCGATCTAGTATGGTTCTAAACCTATACTTGTGCAAATGATTTATATCCTCATAGCACAAGAAACGGTGCTATAAATCATACTACACACTAATCTCTAATGGTCATTAATCGTCCACAAAAAATATGACCTTGATTAGGGATAATTTTCGATTAAAATATTCAATGTTCACTTAATAGGTGTTTCTTTATCCCAGCCATTGACTTGATACCCTATTTTGAATATTTATTAAAATCGAATGGACACATTATTTAATTCTAAAACACAATTAAATAGTTTTGTGGAATATTTAGAAATATTTTATTCCACTATGAAACTTCACAATGTTTCATCTTATGATAAATGTATTTTCCCAAATGTTTTAAGAGTTGTACTCTTCATAAAAAATTCATAGAAATCACACTCATATTTGATATGCTTGATTTCTGTCATGCAATTATGAATGTTGTCGTTCACTTATTGCATAGGTTTAGTTATAATTACTTTGCAAACCTTAGCATCTTCATTATCCACCATTTCCATAATAAGATGATAAAATTTTGAGAGTGTTAATGGATTACATGTGATTCAGGATTTATTGTCCAAACAATGGCTCCCACTCATTTTCATGATTTGAGACCTTCTACTTGACAACCTACAATCATCAATGTTCAACAACGAACTTTTCCATTCAACATCTATCTTATTATTGCTTTTAAGGCAACAATGTTCTCAACATATGTTTTAGTAGACTCTCCGATGATGCCTTGCATGGATTTCACTCCAAACGACTCACAATGATTTGGAATACTCAAATCACTTACGATCATGGAAATTTATCTTAAATTTCCGCACATTATACACGGATGCATATCCATGTTACCATTCTCAAGCCACGACACTTCGTGCCTCGTGCTTATAAATGGCTTCCTTTCTAAGGATCTAATCCTTGTTAAGGTTTGTTCTTGTAACATCAAAACTCAAGTTGTATTTGTTTCCATGCGTCAAGTACTCATCCAACTACTTATTTAAGTGCTATGGATGTTCTTGACTATAATCTAATGATCTAATACATAGATTAATGTCGACTGGTATTATATACGTACTTCACATTCTCTAAGCAAGTAAGTCGTCTGACAATTCCATATCATAGCTTTACATGATGGATTTAATTCTAGAAAGATTCTCAATTCTATTCCATCCATGTGACATTTAGCTCATTCAGTTACACTGAGTCTTGCCAAAATGTTCGCTATGTGATATGGTTGAAAGTCTCTTACTAGAGTCTTTCTTGGTTGACTTAGTATTTAGCCTAGATTGTACTTAGTTCAAACATTTACTTAGCTTCATACATATATGGGTCGAAAGCCTTTCAAAGTCCTTCATGTTTAACATGGTAAATTCCTTTACTCATTTAAACATTTAATTAAGTCTATACCATAGAACTTAATTCCCAACATGTACTAAGTATCGTCTTTAGCTTGGTCCATTGTCGAAAATACTTTCAAATCTAAGCATTTAGCATTTGATAGTTGTTTCACAATAGAGTTCGTAAACTTCTCGTTGGACCTTTACTTTTGCTCCCACTAAACTTCTTGTTCATCAGAATTTCTATGTTTCTACATAAGTCAATCCTCTTATTAACTTTATGAGAAAACAAGTTCCAATTCCTTCATGCAATGCTTCCTTTAATCCCATGACGGATTCCATGTGCTTGCTTTCAAATCTAGCATTATTTAGATTTTCAAAACCCTTAGACTATTCCATAGTCACTTCCAAGATCCTATTTTGGGAAGGCAGTTTTAATATCTATTTTGCCATATTTCATATGTGCAATTTTGCTAGATCAATCATGAAAAGACTTAAGCATTCCGATTGGTGAATAGGTTTTTTTTTAAAATCAACTCCTTGAAATTAATTATATCCTTTTCAACCAATCTAGCTATGTATGCATATACATTTCCACATTTGTTAGTTTTCTCCTTGAAAACTTATTTGCAATTGATGGATCTTTCATCCTTCATGCAAATTAATCAAGTTTCGAACATGATTTTCAAACATGGAGTCTATTTCGGATTTTCATGGCCTCTAACCATCATTCGGAATTTGGATTTGTCGTAGCTATCTTACAAGACATTATTCCTTTGCTTGTAAGTATTAGGTTTATTTCTAACTTAATAGAAAATTTATAGGATTCAATCCAAGCCTTTGGTGAATTCTATACCTATACGGGGTAATTGCATCAAACACTGAGTTTTAAGGAGCTTTCAAAGCCCTTTTATCATGTTGATCTTACTCCAACATTTTTAATGTTTTGTGAGTAATGAATACTCTTTTAAGGCACTTGTAAAGTCTTTTTGAGTATTCTTGATCAAGCATTCTCATGAAGTCCTTTAAGGTCTTCCGAGATTCTCAGTTCTAGTTTGTTGCTATGCTCGATGGTCATCGGGTTCATTTTCCTCCCACTTGTCGTTTTGGAAACGTGTTACGTTCCAGAAAGACACCACTTAGAGCAACAAACATTATGTTCTCAATTAGGATGTGGAGGTAATTCTCGTAGTCTCACTTGAATGCTTATAAAGAGACATGTAAATTGTCTTTGGGTAAAAGTTCGTTGTGAAACAAATAGTTAGCTCCCACTTGAGCTAACTTTAGTCTTTATTGAGCCATTCAGTTCCCACTGAGCCACCTAGCTCCCACTGAGCCACTTAGCTCCCACTAAGCTAGTGAACTCCCACTGAGACTAAGAGCCTTAGACATATACTTGAAAAGACTTTTAGAAGTTATTTCTATCCATAACTGAATATGGCTTCCTTTCTTAGCTTCGACATATTGTTTAGTGTAACATTAGTCATTTGTGCAAATCTTTAAGAACTTTATA